GTGATCTAATAGTCTCTGCCAAAATAGTTGGTGAAGGGTTTATACCTTTATCTAATTGTTCCAAGAAATCAACCACTGATGCTTCTATATGTCCTAAAACCTTAAAAAATATCATTAGTCCATAAATGGCCAAAGCAATTACATCCAACCCCCAATCAGTATCAATATACTTTTTTATGTACTAAAGCAGAAAAGCTGATGGAATGGTCTCAACCCCGTTCTTTTCTTTCTTGTGCTTGTCTATCTCTTCAACCTCCACTTACATGATATTGGCTAATTTTTTTCTATATCCGGTAGTCTTATGCTCTTTTCAATAAATCTTATCTTGATTGGTAGACTCTATCCGGAGTAAAAAAAAAAATTCTTCGATCATGGGGGCCAAGTCTTCTTGGTTGAATACAAAGCATCGATAAGATGGATCTCAGAACTGTGTTGCGGCTCTTATCAACTGTTCATCAACCTTCACTGACATAAGCAGTGCTACATCCTTATATTTCTTGAAAAAAGATTCTTTTCTCTCTGTTCTCCACTGTTTTCAAATGGTTTCCAATTTTGATATATTATTTTGACTGAGATCCATATGCATTGATTGTGGTAGCACCGATATGTGACCATCTACTAAGCAATCTCCTTCTTTCCCTTGAGTACCTTCTGAATGGCTTTTGACCTCTAAGTAGCTCTTACACACAGACGACATCCTTTAGGTTTTCTAAAGGTTTTTTCTTGCTGAAGATTGGTCTAAAACAATACCCTCTAAAAATATAGTACCTATATGATGCATGCAACAAAATTGAAGACAATAAAATAAATCAATAATGTAAATAAAACAAATAAATAAAAATGAGTAAATGAATGAACATACGTCATAACAGAATATACATAGTATCCTAATTTAGGTAATTTTCTCGTAAAAGGGACAGTATGGCTCTATCCTAAAGTTGGACCTTACAGCTCACTATATGTCGGGTTAAGATTTACATGTCTAAAGTTTCCCAGACTATTCCTCACATCATCGTCTATTATAGACCAGTAAGGCTCCCCAATCCTCACCCATTACAGGCTACTAACGGAAAGGGTTCAATCTAAATGGAAGTGTTTCGCTAGCAAATGCGAAGGTTATCACCTCACGAGAGCATAGCTACTTCACTTCTTCCTAAAAAGGATAGAGCCCGGGTCTAGAGCTCATGCATGAATATGCAAAGTGTGCAAATTAATGTACTAATTAAAATAACATGAATAAATCATAACCACAAAATCATACAATTTGTTTTATTCATTAACATATATATTTTTAAAAAAATCAAAATAAAAGAGATTAACTGAAATGTTAAATAAAACCAATTAAATCCAACGATTCTTAATAGCACATAATTAAAAGTTTTGGCTTGACTCTTGAATTTTATCCCCAGTGGAGTCGCCAAACTGTCATAACGATTTTGAGACCGCTAGACATAAAACGAGTTTTAAAATCGAAAGAAATAAAAGGAGTCGCCACCAATCTTTGTTAGGGTGTGATTGGCCATCCAAAAGGTTATCCTTTTAATAAAACTATAAAAACGGGTTTAAAATTTATCAAAAAGATAAATTTCGATCTACGAAAAATTAGATTGGGTCCGAGAGTCGGTTACGCGTGGGGAAGGATTAGCACCCCCACAATGCCCATAAATTGGTACTATTTAATTACGCGCTATTTTCGGTTTGGATAAAAATGGTTTTAATTTGAAATTTAACACTAATTCCCTTCACTTGATAAAAATAAAATTTTGCTAAAATATTTATTTAAAACTTTTGAGAAAATCTTTAAGTTAAAGAATTATCTTAAAATTCTCCATCGTCTAGACAGAATTTAAAATAACTCTTTTCGCTTAAGATTTAACACAATAATCCTTAAAATGAAATAACAATCTTTATAAAAAAATAATTGTTAGTGACTCTCCAACATCTAGGCAGACTACCAAGAATTATTTCTTTCGAAATGTTATTTTTGGTTTATTTTGTAATATCACAAAAATATTTTTTTTCTTTTTTTTAAAGTATTATCCCTTTTTTTATTTTTTACTATAAAATATTTTTTCATCAAACAGCAAATTAAAGAGAGAATAATGCAATCAATTATCGATGATAACATGTTAACGTATGTATGCTAATGAATGTCATTTACAATGAAATGTAATTTAAGAGTTAGATTCTTAAGTATAATGCGACCACCCCGACTCTCCAACATCTAGGCAGAGCTTAGGTGTGACTGTTTATGTTTAAGATCCCAATTTTATTATACATTTATTTATTAATTTTATTATTAATGTGAATTAAGAACTTGTGTGAAAAGACTTAACGAAATAAAATTTCCTAAATACCTCATCATCTAGACGGCATTCAGGAACAAATTGCTTCAAATAGAATTTTCACACGTGTCCTTAGGATTTTTAGGACTTTGAATTTTAAGAGGTTTTGAATCTTAAGGGATTTTGGATTTTTAGGGGTTTTAAAACTTAAGATTTTAAAAATTAAAAAAAAGTGTTTAGGGTTTAAGTAAAACACGAACATCTCTAAAAATCTCCATCATCTAGGCGAACTTTCGGAACAAGTTTAATTTTTTTTTATAATTTTTGAAAAATAATTAAAATTTTCTTATGTGTTTTTTTTTAATGAAAATTTATTCATAATAATTTTTCAACATCTAGGCGAAATTATTTGTTTGGAAAAATATTTTTTATTCCCTCCAACATCTAGACAGGAAAAATAAAAAGCTTATTCCATTATTACTATTATTATTTAAACATTTTAAATATATTTTTTAGTTATTATTTTATATTATTTTCATTTTATTATTATTAATAACAATTAAATATTTATCATAATAAATTTAAACATTTATCGTGCATAAAAATAAAATAACAAAAATAATAATATATAAAAAAAACTTAAAAAAAAAATTTTTTTTTTACCTGAACTGGATCGGTCAACGGTTCGGTCAACGCTGGTTCGGGCGGTCTGATCGGTTCGGAGGTTGGATCGACGGTTCGGGCGATCTGACTAGTTCAACGGTTAGGGCAACCTGCGGTTCAGATCGATTCACTGACGGTTTGTCTGAACCAGTTCAAGGCTGGCTGAAGCGGGTCGGGTTGCACGAATCTCGGGTTGGGTTAGGTCCACGCGCGGATCCTCTACGTTTGAAACGACGTCGTTTTGGTCCTATGCTCAAAACGACGTCGTTTTGGTCCTATGTTTCTATAAAAGTCAGATTTTTTTTTCTTTCCTCAGTCTGTTTAGTTTCACAAAAAAAAGGCTCTGAGGGGGGTCTCTGGTCTCGTCAGAATCCGACGTCGTGCCTGCACTGGCAGTTTTGTGAGTCACCGTCGACGGTGGTCGTCGGTGACCAGAAAATGGTCAGAAAAGTCACCAAAAATTCCTCTGGACGCCTTCTTTCCAGTTCCGACCTTCGCTTGGCCTGAAAGTGGCTTGACTGTCGCGAATCTGTTTTCAAAGTTTCGGATCTCTCATCTTTTCTTTCTTTTTTATTTTTTGTTATGAACAAAAACTGATTTATCTTCCTTCTTGCAGGTAGCTTGGCTCTAGGTTCTTCCCTACGGGGAGGATTGTATTTTTTTTTTTTTTGTGATTTGTGTAGATCTATTTCGTTTTCGATTGTGGTGTTTTTTTTGGGGTTGCGTGAAATTTGATTTCTTATGCATGGGAATGTGGGCCTGTCTGGGGCTGTTGAGGGTGTTTTGAGGGGGGGAAGAGTTCGTCTGAGCTCGAGGGTTTTCATGGGTAGATCGAATGGGTTTTCTTCTTTTTTTTTTTATTAGAGAGCCCAGAGAGAAGAAGGGGGAAGAGTTTGTCTGTTGATTTTAAATAGCTTCAATTAGGTGGGATTTGGGTGGCTGTAGGGTGACTGTAAGTGGGCTGAAAGAGAGCTGGTCAAGGGGCATCAGGGGGCTGGTCGGGAGGCTGACAGGAGCGGTAATGGCGTCGTACCAGCCCCTGGTTTCTGTCTCATTTTTTTTTAATTTTTTAATTATTATATTTTTAAAAATATTTTTTTATTATTATTATTAATATACTTAAAATGAAAACATTAGACCTGGACAAAATCGATGTCTACAATATATTAAAAAGATATTATCATATGTGAAATTATATATTGCCAAAACAACATTATTGAAAATTTGAAATGTCGAACAAAAAATTGTCACAAAAAATGAGACAAAGAAAATTTTTAATGTAATACTCTTTTGTCTCATTTTTGTTATTCATTTTTTTTTTTTTTTGGATATCTCAAAATTATAAACTATTTTCTTAGAATATTTAAAACTTTTATTTTTTTTATATTTTAAAATTATATTTTAACTTTTTAGCATTAAAAATCATAAAATTTTAATTTTATAAAAAAAATTTAAATTTAATATTAAATACATTAAAATAAAAAACTTATTTTTAAATTTCATGAAAATAATACATGACAAACATTTGAAGGAGGAGGAAGTAATGGGTTTAAGTGGGCTTATATCATGGGTTGGGGTGGGTTTAAGTGAGCTTTTATCGTGGGTTGGGGGTGGGGTGGGGGTTTGTCTGTTGTTACACAAATAGTCACTATAATCTATAGAGGTGAATTTGATTTTAATTGAGTTAATAAATCAAATCTCTTTTAATTTAATTAATCAATCAAATATTAAATAAATTTTGATCAATTTTTAAAAATAATTTTACTGAATATGTTTTATCCTTAATAGAACGGAATAATTTGTAATATGGAATGGTAATATATAAAAATAGATATTTTATCTAAAATCACTTGTTATAATTGTGTAATAAAGTAAATGATAAATATAGTATATGCATGTGGCATATAATATAAAATAAATACAAAATAAATACGGCAAATGACAATCTCAAATTTTTTAAGATATTTTACTGAACTTATTCAATTGCATACATATATACATACAAACAGACATATATATATATATATAGCCCAACCAAATATTTTACATTCATATTAACCAAAATATTTAAGAAGCGTCATTAATTCATTCCCACATTGAGAGAATGAGTAGCAGCACTTAAGGATTTTGACATACATACAGTCATTATTTTAAATACATTAATTGGGATTAAATCCCAAATCACTGAACAGGCCATGTTCTTTATTCACTCATGAACGATCTCTTATATGGGAATTGATCAGTTCTTCTTGGCGCATGTTGCTGAGCAAGATTCCATACAGCTTCCAACTTTCTTTGCAGCTATGGAATTAATATAAACAAAAAAAGCAAAACAAAACCTTGAGTTTGTTGATCTTGTGTCTGTATGTTTTCAAAAGTAGAGAGGAAAAAGAAATTACCAGGATTTTCTTTGGTGCTGAAACTTGAGCACAAGGTGGTAGAACAACCAAGGTTGCAGAAGTATTGGGTGTCTTTGACACCGCCCGCAGTAGATTTGAAGAGACAGTTCTTAATGCAATCGATAGCGCAAGAGCCAGCTGTTGTTCCAGTTTGAAGAACGCATGGAGCAAAGCAGGCCCCAAAGCAGATTGCTGCAACGCCAATGGGGATCACAATTCCACCTTGAGCTCTGGATTGCTCTACTAGAGTGCTCATCACCAAACAGACCATCAAGATCAGTGAGACTCCTCTTTTCTCCATTTTCCTTTCCTTTCCTTTTTCTTTTGTTTGCAGCAAGACTTAGAAGATTGATATATATATATATATATATAGAAAGAAATTTGAGAGAGGTTTATATAGATTTTAAATGGTAACTACATTGTGCTCCACTTCATTTATGCTTACAAATGAAAATCAAGTTAAGTTGGCAATATTAAAGAAATCCATAACACAATGCCAAGGATTGAAATTGATTGGTTTGAATTTGCTTTATCGAGAGAAACTGATTGGTCTAATTCAACATTGGGATGACATAGGCAAAAGCCAATTATCAAAGTTCAAAATAAGTAAAAAATTTATCCAAGTCTAAAACAACTAGAAAAAAAATTAATTCTTTTTTTTTGAAGTAAAACAACGCCAAAATCTTCCTTTTAGGATATGACCAATTATGTTCTCCCATTCTAAATATATGCTAATGATTATTATCCAATATAGCCATGATAAAATTTTTTAATTCCATAAACATAAATAAAATATTCCATTTCTTTTTAATGCTCTAATCGGATTTTTAATTCAACATCATCTTCCTTATTTGTAATTAAATTGAATATATAAAGACAGCAAATATATATATATATATATATATGTTTTGTAGAGTTTTTGAAATCATTGCTAGTGTATGAAATAATTATAATTCGAACAAAAATTTATAAATGGTTTAATGGGTTTTGCATTAATTGATAGCTAAAATAATGATTTCATTTTCACCACTTAAACAAGACTATAATCACCAATAAGCCCACCAATGGATCAAAGTGGCATTACATATATTATATTAACTTAAATAAACCCCGTTAATGATGTTAATTTGTGAATTGTGAATAATTGAGTTTTCTTTTTTGGCCATCAATTGAGTTTATTTTAATTTAATAAATGAAAAAAAAATGTAGGCAACTCATTGCCCTTTTGTTCCACTTTATTTTACGTATTTTTTTTATTACATTGAATTAATATATTAGTGTTTTGTCTTCATTAAGAAATGAATTTGTGTTTTTTTAATTTTATATTGTGTTATTAAGAAATGAATTAATATATTGTGTTTTATTTCGACAATAATACATGCCAATTCTGGTGGATAATGATACATGCCACAAAATAAGATTAGAATATATATTTTAATATACTAATGGGCTTAATTATGCTCGTATATATGCTGGTGGTGTTTTGTCAATTTTTACTGAATCCTCTTCCACTTCTAATTTCAAGTGGACATATAATGGGCAAATACTATTGATTCTGATTTTTAAAATTCAAAATAAAAATGTATTAATTACCCGTAATTCTTGTCAATATAAAAATATAAAATATATTTTTTTAATTTTATTAAATCATATACATAATTATTATTAAAATTTTAAATTTTATAATTTTTTATATATATATTTTTATATTATGTTCATATTATATTATCATATTGTAATTTAAATTATCATATATAACTGTATGTGGTAGAAATGTACTCCACTAGGATTACTTACAAATAAAAATGGAGCTAAGTTAGCAATGTCAAAGATTCATTAATTGCCCTAAAATAGATATATATGAACTAAACTGTTCAGTAGCCCAAAGCACAAAAACAGACGGTTTTGTATCAACCAATAAAAATTTTGACTGCCAATTATCCAAAATATCCCGATTAATTAATCTTAAAAACATAAATTAATTGCCCACAGAAATTCAATTAAACACACTTGCCACAATATTGTGCTTTGATTTTGTAAATGTCTTACCAAGAATGCTTTGGGATGACAGTAATCTTTAGGCATTGATTGAAATATTGTACTAGTATAATACAAAATAAAATAAAAAAAAAGTGTGAAATTTCAAACAAAATATGTCACACGAAATACGATTAATAACTTTTTGATAAAAAAATAATAATAATAATTATCTTAAATGTGCTTGTTTGTATCACGAAGATTTTGTAAAATTTTACTTAATGCTCTCTCAGTCATTTCAAGTGGGACATATTGGGTATACGCTATCCTATTCAAATTTTTAAAGATTTTATATTTAAATTTGCCTTTAATTTTTTGTTAAAAATGATATAAATCATTAAAAATCTTCGTATAAACCAGAAAAACAAACATGCAAGAAAAAAGAAACAGAGAGTTTAGATTTCAAAGTGATCTAAACCAGGCTTGAGGATCAAAACATAGCATACACAAGCAACTGCAACCAAGGCATATGCCAAAATGAAAACTCTAAACTATCTTACGGATTTGGCAATATATATATATATATATTAAGGATTAATGCGAACCGTGGCACTTGACGGGCAACCAGTAATCCATAGAACTACCGATCCATAGTGTTGACATCAATTTTGTCCCAAAAAAAATAAAAATAATATTACAAAATGCGAAAAAAAATACAAAACAAAAAGAAGAAGAACAGCAAAAATAAAAAAAAAAATCGAGGATGGCAGTGGTGCCATCCCCGGCACCATTGCCACCAGGCTCATCACCCATCCCATATCCTTTTCATCCTACCCTACTACTAAAAAATATAGAAGAAATAAAGAGGCATGAGGCTCGTGCTTACACCCCATGCCGAGCCCCATGCCTTTCCCCCCAAATATGCACGGTTGGAGCTTTATAAATAGAGCTTCTAGTCAAAAAAAAAAAAAAAAGAGAGATAGAAGAGAAGTAATGCTACAAAAATAAACTGCCAAAACACACAAAAAAATAAAACAGAAACCACAGTCATCGCCGAATCGACGAAGAACCTAGCGCCAGGAAGGTACCTGCAACAAAAAAAGAAAGGTTATTAGTTTGAGTATTTTTTATAAAAAAAAAAAAAAGAAGAACAGAAAACTTAGAACCCCGATCTACGTTGATTGAGGTCGTTTCCGACGAAGAGGAGATCAGATATGAAAGATCGCGTCAAAAGGAACCTCTTGGTCACTTTTGAAGTTTTCGACCACCGACGACGGCGGACCAGGCGACGGCCGGCGAGGTGCACCGGAGCCTGGACGACGAGGGTGTCGGACCTCTGCCCAGAGCCCTTATTTCCTTTTTTTTTTCTCAGAAACAAAAAATGAACTGAAACAAAAAAAAAAAGGATGTTTTTATAAAGAAAGCATAAAAGTAAAACGACGTCGTTTTGAGCATAAGGCCAAAATGACGCTGTTTCAAGCATAAGAGGATCCGCGCGTGGATCGAACCTGACCCGAGATCCGCGCAAATCGACCCACCAACCCGCCTCAGCCACCCTCCGGTCGGTTCGGAAGAACCGTCAGTGAATCGGTCCAAACCTCTGGATCGCCCGAGCCGCTTATTAAACTGAACTGGTCAAACCGGTATAGACTAGCATTGACCGGACCGTTGATCGGTCCGATTCAGGTAAAAAAAAATTTATTTTTTTGAATTTTCTAGATTTTTTATATATATTATTATTATTTTTGTTATTTTAGGTATTTTTACATATTTATGCATGATAAGTTCTTAAATTTGTTATGATAGATTTTTAATTGTTTTAATAATAATAAAATTGAAAACAAGTAATAATTAAAAATACATATTAAAAATGCTAAAAAAAATTATTATTATTTTCCTTGCCTAGATGTTAGAGGGAATAAAAAATATTTTTCTAAAGAAATAATTCCGCCTAGATGTTGGTGAATTATTATTAATAAATTTTCATAAAAAATAAATATAAGAAATTTTTAAATTTTTTAAAAATCATTAAAATCGAACTTGCTTCGAAAATTCGCCTAGATGTTGAAGATTTTTAGAGATGTTCGTATTTTCTTAAAAACGAAACCTTAAACACTAATTTTTAATTTCAAAATCCTAGGTTTCTAAAACCCCTAAAATTCAAAACCTGTTAAAATCCAAACCCCTAAAAATCTAAAATCTCTTAAATCTGAACCCCTAAAATTCTAAAAGCCTAAAATCCAAACCCCAAAATTCAAAATCCCTAAAATCTAAACCCTTAAATCAAAACTCCAAACCCCAAAACCCAAATCCTAAAATCTCCAAACTCTAAAATCAAAACCCTAAACTTTTCATATCCTAAAATTCAAGCCTTAAAACCCTCTAAACCTTAAAACCAAATATTCAAAACCTCTATTCAAGCCTTTACACAAAACCTCCTAAAAATCCTAGATGATGGGGTATTTAGGAAATTTTAGTTCGTTAAGTCTTTTCACATGATTTCTTAATTCGCATTAATAATAAGATTATTAAATAAAAAGTCTAATAGTAAATTGGGATCTTAAATATAAACAGTCGCACCTAAGCTTTCCCTAGATGTTGGAAAGTTGGGGTGGTCTCATTATACTTAAGAACTCAACTTTAAAATTGCATCTCATTCCACATAACATTCATTGGCATACATCAGTCAGCGTGTTACCATTGGTAATTATTTGCATTATTCTGTCTTTAATTTTCATTTACTATTTGATGATAAAATATTTTATAATAAAAAAATATAATACTTTTAAAAAAAATTATGATATTATAAAATAAAATAAAAATAATATTTCGAAAGAAATAATTCTTGGTACTCTACCTCGATATTGGAGAGTCACTAACAATTATTTTCTATAAAGATTGTTATTTCTTTTTAAGGATTATTATGTAAAATCTTAAGCGAAAAGAGTTATTTTAAATTCTGCCTAGATGTTGGAGAATTTTAAGATAATTCTTTAACTTAAAGATTTTCTCAATATTTCTAAATAAAAACTTTTAGCAAAATTTTATTTTTCCAAATGAAAGGAATTACTGTTAAATTTCAAATTGAAACCATTTTTATCCAACACCGAAACGTAATTAAATGGTACTAATTTTTGGGCGTTGTGGGGGTGTTAATCCTTCCCCATACGTAACCGACTCCCAAACCCAACATGTTTTTTCGCAGACCGAAATTTATCTTTTTGATAAACTTTAAACTCGTTTTTATAGTTTTACTAAGAAGATAAACTTTTGGGTGGCCAATCACTCCCTAACAAAGATTGGTGGTGACTCCATTTTATTTTTCTTGATTTTAAAAACTCAATTTATGT